ATCCTCTTCCGATGGTAGATCGGATTCTTTCATTATTAGGGACAGCAAATTATATTTCTTCAATAGATTTGAGGAGTGCATTTTGGCAAATACCTTTAGATGAAAGCTCTAAAGAAAAAACAGCTTTTAGTATTCCGGGAAGGGGTTTGTTTCAATTTAAAGTCATGCCTTTTGGACTTGCCAATGCCGCGCAGTGTCAACAACGGTTGATGGATGCTATTTTTGGTCCAGATTTGGAACCATACATTTTCTGTTACCTCGATGATTTGATCATAGTGAGTAATTCATTCCAGCATCACATGGAACTATTATTAGAAGTTTCAAAGCGGTTAAGGGAAGCTAATTTAACAGTTAATTTTGAAAAATGCGAATTTTTTAAACCTTCACTTCGATACTTAGGGTATATTATTGATAGATTTGGTCTCAGGACAGATCCAATCAAAGTAACAGCTATGTTAAATTTTCCTCAGCCTAAAAACACAACGGAAGTAAAACGTTTTACAGGTTTATGTAGTTGGTATCGTAGATTTGTTCCACAATTCTCCACATTAATGTCACCTATAAATGACTTATTAAAAAATCGAAAAAAGGGTCAAAAAATATTTTGGAACCCAAAAGCTAATAAAGCTTTTGAGGACATTAAGCAGGCGCTAGTCTCTGCACCGATTCTGGCCAGTCCGAATTTTACCTTGCCATTTATTGTGCAAGCGGACGCTAGCGGTGTCGGCTTGGGCTGTGTATTAACACAAATTCAGGATGGCGCGGAGAAGGTTATTGCTTATGCCTCAAGAAGTCTTACACGGTGTGAGAGAAATTTTAGTGTAACTGAAAAGGAATGTTTAGCTTGCATTTTTGCTTGTGAAAAATTCAGAGGGTTTATTGAAGGGGTAAAATTTACTTTGATAAGTGATCACGCTTCTCTTAAATGGTTTTTAAAATTGAAAAATCCAACTGGAAGATTAGCTCGTTGGAGTGTTCGTTTGAGTCAATTTGATTTTGAGTTAGAGCACCGTAAAGGTAAAATGAATGTTGTACCGGATGCCTTGTCTAGAGCTCCGTTAGTAGACGTAAGTGAGAATGAAAATCTTGATTATGATGAACAATCCAATAACATTTTCTCTTTGGAAACTCAGTTTAATGATAACATTATACTAGATATTAGTTTGGAAAATTTAGATCCTTTTTATGTCAGAATGCGCACTCAAATAACTGGAAAACCAGATAAGTATCCTCAATGGGCCGTTAAAAACGGTTATGTGTATAAACTTGTACCCACTAAAGTGCAAGTGAATTCTAATATATCTGATTGGAAATTATTAGTTCCAAAGTCTCAAAAATATCAAATTATTTATAACTGTCATGATACTAGTACTGCTTCTCATTTAGGTTATTTCAAAACTTTTTCTAGAGTCAGTTTGCAATACTATTGGCCTAAAATGCGAAACGATATTTATAAATATGTAAAATCCTGTAAAGTGTGTTGTGCTCAAAAGGCACCAAATTACAAAAAATTCGGTTTGATGGGAGTTGAAAGGAAAGTTAGATTTCCGTTCCAAACAATCGCTTTAGATTGTGTCGGACCTTTTCCTAGGAGTAAAAATGGATTCACGCAACTGCTAGTTGTCAGTGATTGGTTCACAAAATACACTTTAATTTTTCCTTTAAGGAAAGCCACTGCAAAAACTATTTGTAGAATTTTAGAGAACGATGTTTTCCTAATTTATGGTGTTCCACAAAGTGTACTATGTGACAATGCGAAAAACCTTGCTAGTAAAGAACTGAAAAAACTTTTAGAAAAGTACCAGACACATCTAAATTTAACACCTTTTTATCATCCTCAGACTAATTATGTAGAAAGAAATAATAGAACAATAGAAACAGCTATCAGGAGTTACATTAAAGATAATCATAGAACATGGGATGAAAATTTGGGACAAATTGGTTTTGCAATAAGAACAGCTGTTCATGAAATAACTGGATATAGCCCTGCTTTTCTGATGTTTGGTCGAGAGTTGCCATGCACAGGTAAATATTATGGTAAAGCAGGAGATATTTTAGATTTAGGGAGCAGAGATTATTGGGGTAAAAATCTGGGTAATATGAAAAATTTATATGAGGATGTTCAAGAAAAGATAAATGCAGGATATAAGAAAAATACTAAGTATTATAATCTTCGGCGGCGAGAAAAAGAATTTTTCGTTGGCGAGAAAGTGTGGCGCAGAAACCACGTTTTATCAAAAGCAGCTGAAGGTTTTGCGAAAAAGCTAGCTCCAAGGTATGTACTATGTACCGTATCTAAAAAAAAGTCTAAATTAGTTTATGAACTAATTAATGAAGACGGTTCCAAAGCAGGAACTTACCACATTCAGGATTTGAAACCATATAGTGAGTCACTTTCTGATCTCTCCACAACAGGATCTGAGGCTGGAGTAGATACAGATGAGGACTAAGGTTACTGATAGTGGATTTTTTATGTATATAATGTAAATAAGGGGGGAATCACGTGATTGCAATCTAAATAGTTTTAGTAAATAATAGTTAGTACTAGGTAATATAAAATATAAAATTTAAAAAGATGATTTAGGTATGAGTAGGGGAGTTCGTGTGCTTGTGGAAGCATATGTTATCTCAATGCCTACTGTGGACGGTAAAAGAGCCCTAGCCATTGCTAAGCATGCATGGGAACTGCTCAATTTGAACTTGAGTTGTCCACTTATAAAAAAAAAAAACACAAAAAAATATATAGTGTACATATTTGTAAATATTGGGTCCTAATACAAAGGTTATTTTCTTGAGAAGCTCTCAGGAAATGCATGAGTTTGTAACTATTTTGTTGTTTTTTTTTAAATTTTATTTCTTTTCTTGATCCAACTGTCCGAAAGAAGGATTAACACCTTTACCCTATGGTGCCATAGAGGAATAATAGGGGTGCCTATCTGAGAGTCTGGATTATTTTCTTCCTGATAAAGGAAGAGTTCACATAAAAAATTTTGCCATTTCATGTCAAATTTTTTTTACTTGGGAAGGGGGTGATTGTAACGTGAAAAATGTCCATTTCACGTACAATGTAATTTTTTTTGATTAAATATATCTCAGCTCGTTTGTTAAAATAAATATTTAAATACTCAATAATTGTTCACATTAATTCAAATAATTTTAATTCTAAATGAGTTCCTATTAGGTATGCAACCAGTTAATTATAACCTAGTAATGTGTTTAGTATCCCATAAATCAGTTTACTCAGTGTGTATCTATGGAGAACGAAGTTCTATGGGTATGGTAATTTATTTTCTGTCAGTTGTCGATATATTTTTGACATCTGAATAATGCTGGCCTTTCTGATATACGCTTTCGTAGAGGAAAGTCGAATTTTGGTTTCCTTTAAATCAAGGGGTTTGTAAGAACAAAAAAAGAAAAATAAAACAACCAGAAGGGAATTTTGCATTTTTTTGCCGTCTTAGCTGACATGTGTTTAGGCGTCTGGCCTTATCCAGAATTAACTAGTAAAATCTAGTTTTTTTGTTGCAAAATGCTGATGTAAGCAGTAGAATTCACACTGGTGGATGCAGTTTTTTACATACATTCACACAATTTACATTGGGATACAGTATAAGGGATCAAAGACAACTTCCATGAGGTTAGAAGCGGTCTAACAATTTTCTTTTCTCCAAGAATCCTGTCAATTTGAGATAACACTTTGTCCAGGGTAGCCGGTTCTGTGCTCTTGTTGAATAAGGATTCATCTGGAATTTTGTTAAGGCTTTTCCTTCAGCATCAGCCTGTATTTGGGAAAGTCCCGTTTTCAAGCTGAAGTTTCATGTAAAGTTCACACAAAGGTATTTATGGTGAAAATTAAAATATGTATTTTGAGAGACTTTTCTTTAAATTTAAATTTTGAAACACTTTTTTTAGTAATGATTTAATGAATACATTTTGGGTGATATTAACTGGTATATCTTCATAGGGCTCCACAGTTTATCCATATTTTCACATGTTTTCTTTATATTTAAATTTAATTTTAATTAATTAGTCAATCTTAATTAAATAACGGTTATTTTTTTATTGTATTTTTGATATAAATATTTTGACAAATGTAAATTCAACTATAGTTAAATATTTCATTTACAACATATAAATTTGTTACTATTGTATTGTCTAATTTTATAACAGATCTTTAAATAATTTCATCAACATCTGTAATGTAAACTATTAATTTTGGAAGTGCTCATGATCTTGACGGGGATGTTTTGTTGTCAATAAATGAGACATTATATTTATGATCTGTGCCAGCTCAGTCAGCTATTATTATGGTTACTCTGATGTCTGACTACATAAAAACAATTTTTTCTTTGTTTAACATTGACTGATTTAAAGAACTCAACCAGAGAATAAAGATAAAAAAATTTTATTTAGCTTTTTATTTCTACAATAGTTTTAATACAACAGGATCTTCTTTGAAGTTAGGAATTTAATGATTTTTATATATTTTTTTCCCTATAGTTTTTGTATAAAAAATAGGGTGGCGTCCAATACATCTTTAGGTCTGGTACAAGGTAAGATTAACAGAATCCCCCCATTATCCACTGTTCTACGACGACGACTAGCCAGGACACAGTTTGCAAAGGGATGAGTTTGCATAGATTCTATCCCCTGACAAGAACACTTTAGTAACAAATTAGACTTGTCGAACTGTGCATATTTCTAACCCCTACTAAGGACAGCAAGCAGGAGTTATACCTGATCTAGTCCTAATATCTAATTATATTTTACAGGTCAAGAACAGAAGAAGAGTAAATATGTCACAAACAAGCAACAAACATTTTCGTCCGCGCTAAGATTAATAAAATATTACATTACAAAAGATTTTTAATGAGTTTTTTAATAATAAAAAAATGAAATTACCTTCACTAACCAAATTATTTATCTTTATTTTATCAATGCACAAATGCGCAAAATGATTACTTCATAAATGATAAATTTCTTTCATAAAAATATCATACCTGAAAATGCGGCGAGCTAACACACTTGGCTAACTGGCGAAATAATGGTACCATAACCTTTTGAAATTCCGCGGGCTCTATCACATCGAGTATTTCTTCGAGTTCGTTGAGGAACATCACCTCCTTGGGACTGTGCGTCTTTGGCCAATACTTAAGTAGACTTTGAATAACTGACTGAGTAAGAGAAGCATCCTTTTCTAAGAATTGGACTACACAGTAGGCCAATTGTGGATGGTATACTGATAAACTTTTTACTTTATGTAAGGGCATCAAAGCCCTTAATAGAAAGAGCTAAAACAGAATAAAATCGTTAAAATCTTCAATAAAAGTGTAAAAAAATAAAAAGGAAAAAATCTAGGCAGTTCATAAGCAGGGTGTGTAGCGCATAAGAAGTAAAAATCAAGTGACCATGATGTTTGGAAAAGTATGTAGTATTTATTTTCATATTTTTACATTTTCTTACTTTCTTTTACTGTACTATAATATGATCTAATTCAATGGTATATTCTAACGACTTTGCTTTAAAATATATTGTTTCCTGTTATTTAGTCTTTAGTATTGTTAAACTGGCTAGCTCATTTATTCTGTTTTAAGTTCAGACAATTTGACTTTCTCTTTTGTTATTTTTGTGTCGATAATATAGGTACACATAGCGTGTAAAGTACCGTATTACTGTGACCATTAAATTGGATTGTCGCTATTCAGAAGCGCCCTACAATAGGGTTGATTTATGGGATGCACTTGCCCCACGAACCGTTGACCACCATAAGAACAACCAAAGGGTTTCTGATTCTGAATATCTCAAGAAGACACTTCATCACGAGACAGCGTACTTAAAACATTTAGTGTATCGTTTAAGTCTTCTTTTGAGCCTCGTCATCGAGCGTCCCTTAACCCGTGACGTTAAGGGACGCCCGGGAAATATATCATATAACGTAATCATCATAAATACATCAAATAATAAGGGAAATACATCAATATACCAAGGGGTAAATCTATATTCTTTGTACAGATAACAGTATGAGTTAAGTCCGTTAATTCTCGTAATTTAGTCAAAACTATAGTTACTATTTTTCGCTAATGTATTTACGGTCAAAATATTGCATTTTTTCTCCATTATTATTTCTAAATTCATAAGTTTTACACAAAACACATGATGTATGGATAACTTGACCTTATATTGGAGGTCAAAGTTCGGCGGTATCAGGTTAAACAGTTCATTCACGTTCCGCTTTTTAGTCCGGCTAGTGGTCCAACTTCCACAGTTGGATCTGAAATTGGACCGAAGGTGAGCTGGTTGGACTAGTTGGACAACTAGTGGTACGAGTCGGAACATCTAGAGGGACGACTTGAAGGTCCGACTTCCGACTGGCGACGAAGTGGGAGCGTGAATGGTGAAGTTGGTGAAGCTATGAATTACTTTACGCAAATATCTCTAGTTTGCAAATATTTAATAGAAAATAAACTTTTCATTGCACGAAAATTACCCCTATTAAAATACACGATGCTTCATCATTATCTGCTTTTTGTTGGGGTAAATAATTTTCCTTTCTGTTGATCTATTTGGACACTCCCACACAGGTACAATTTCCAACACTCCGGATTGGCTACAGAACAATTATTAACAAATAACGAAAATTAAATCATGGTTGTACTGAAATTAGAAGTAACTTTCTTTATATTATTCTGAAGTTATTTCCTTGGGGCATCTTATGCAAACTTACTATTTTAATTGGAAATAAGCCTGAATATTAGAAATTAAATTTATTTGACGTTTCCACTTCAACTTCGAAATATTTTGATAACGATTTCTGAAGTGGAAGTCCAAACGTCAAAAGTAAAGTTGCTATAAGGCGTTTTTCAGTACTGACACATTCACGCATGACGGTATCTTTTTTGGAAATGAGTAGACCAACTTTTCCCAGTAACAGCGAAAAAGTTAATTTGTCCATTCTGAGGTATTTTTGTAATCATCCTCATCAATGACATTTAGCAATTTCGTGTGACAATAGTTCACACGATCAACAAATAATTTCTTCATCCAATTTTTTTTTATTTTTTTCAAATGATAAGGATAATAAGAACAATGCTGCCATTTTCCTCATCTTAATTATATTTTGCGTAGTGTTTACTCGATACATTTTTTGGTTAAGCGATGTACACCATCGTGAAAAAAAAAAACTAGAACTGAAGTTGGATTGCTAGTTGGATAGCAAGTCTAAGCGTAAGTGAAGACAAATATCCAACTAGTAGTCCTACTAAGTGGGACCGCAAGGCGGAACGTGAATACCCTTTAAGACCGGCAAGCCACACGGTATAAATGTGATCGGTTAAAAAACTCTACTGAGGAATCCCAGGATGCAGAAGGCATCGTGTAATACCTAGTCTTCACTGGAAGCCATAAGATAACGAACAGTAGGTAAAGATCGATATGATTGGAGGCAGATAGTTGGTCAGGCCCGGGTCCACTATAGCCTGTAACGCTATGAAGTAAGTAGTAAGTAATTATAAGAAAATATCTAAAGTTTTTGAATTTGCAAATGCAAAGCATTTGTTGCTTCACTCTTCATATTTTAGAAGCAGTAATCGCGCTGTCATGACCGCTCCATAGTGGTAAAATAAGAAACTAAAATCTTATTAAACATGTATAGTTGTATAACATCTGTATAACTTTTTCAGAGACTAAAAAATGACAGTAAAAGAAACTTCTATATGCGTCTATATTCTTTAATATCATGTCACCTAGGGCTTAGTAAACCAAAGGTTACAAAACAATGCTCAATCCTATGTTAAGAGTTAATTTTTCCCTTATAGGAAGTGATAACCGTCTGGCTCAAATCCAGAAAATAATAATAAAACAATTAGTAAAATCTTCAGATCAAAATAGTCTTCATTTGAAATAAGGAAAATTATCGGCAACTCTTAGATAGCACGAATATTTGATGGACTTATGATCAAGCAACATAAAAAAGACCCACCCTTCACAGAATTATTGACTAAAATTGAGTTCAAAGCACAATTCCCTTGTATTGAAGTTGTGCAAAATTTTCTTTGTAATTACAAGCCTGAAAATTACAAAGTGGAAGATATGGTTAACAGTTAATAACTTTAAAATTGTCACTCAAGAACTACGCAAGAGATCTCTCGAAAGGAAAGTTTTTAGAGTAGGTACCAACTACCGTAAATATTTATTTTGATTATAAACATTTCCTAATTTGTTTTACAGATTAAACCTTATTTCTTCTTTATTAATGTGTTTCTAATAAGTTGTATTCCATCCAACATTTATGTAGGAATAATTCTGTCTATATAGAAATATGTGCTCAAATACTTAGAAAAAGAACGGATAAATAAAATCGGCTAAAAAAAGGTTAAAAAATTCCGCCACCAACACTTGTGTTGATTGGTGCAATTCATGATTATAATGTTTATCCCCAATATAAATTTTCTTATAAGTTTCTCCACTAAAATTTAATGATATAATATTTACCTTGTGTTCATCTTTTAAAGGCAATGCAAATCCGTTAATGATGGAACCTAAGATTTCTAATAACTCGGCAATTCCATTATGGTGCTCGGTTTCGTAAATAAACCTATAAAACACATTACTGATTTGCTTCCTGATGAATGCTCTAAGGCCAAGAAATTTGCCATATATCCTATGTAATGTAGTCTTGAGTAAATCTCTCTCCCTCGGATCCTCTGAATCGAACAGATCTAATAGTTGTAATACGAATTTTTGGTCTATATATCTAAAAATAAACAAAAAATAATATGAATATTCAATTACGTTTATACTCGTCAAAAATTGTATTTATTATCTATCACTAGATACTTTCATAAAAAGACTGTTAATTCCCCACTTAAATATTATTATTGTTATTTAATGTACATTACTGATTTTTTCTGGTAGACGTCAGCATGGCATGTTATCTTTAATGACAATGCCAGTTCATTCTCTTTAATTCTTGACTAAACTAGAAATGTGGCGCCACCAAAAACTTTCTTCAAATGCGCATGTCATCGCATCTGCAGAAATCGCAACATTCCCAACAACAACAACGCCATTTTATTTTGTCTATGACACGGTTGTTTGTTTACGTGGATATTAGGAGTCTTTCACTTGGAGTAATTAATCTACGGACTTGAATTTGTGTAACGTGTGTTATTGTTTAACGGCAAAAAATTGGTGTCGATTAATAACTGTTGTTATTATTTATTGACGGTTTTATAAAATTCTTTGGTTATGAATTACTTATTTATATAAAAATATGTAAGAAAATGTTTTTCTATACACACTGAACTAACACTATTATACTTGATATTACCGTAGTGTAAAGAATTCTATGATTAATTTTTATAAGTTAAATTTACTAATTTGTCAGGATCGATCAAAAAGCATGTGTGCTTATTCGATATCAGTCTTTAAAAATAATGTTATTGTATATATAGCTTATTTTATGTTTAGTATCTTAAAAGATTTTAAAATAATATTCCTATATATATATATATATATATATATATATATATATATATATATATATATATATATATATATATATATATATATGTATTTCATGTATATATTCTAGTTTTAGTTTAATTACGTTCTTAAAATAATTTTGTTATTTTAATTTTTGAATTTTGTTTTTCTCCTATTATGTGCAGTCTGTTCATAATTGCAATAAAAGATTCCACAATGTAATGCAAATTACAAAAAATAATCGTTAATGTTAATGTCAGAAACATTGTCGATTATTTTTTATAATTTGCATTATGTTGTAGAATCTTGTTTTACTATAATAATTAGCAACAAAGCTTATTCGAACGTTTAAAATTCCCGCCGCGTCATTACCCATTTAGTTCATGACTAAACCAGGCAGAGGGCGCTGTATACATTGCAATTTTTGGTATTAAAGAGTTGCCTATCTATCTCTATTTATATATACTTAATCTATGGACGTCAGTTTTCCTCCGATCTTACTGCAACAAAATATACTTATTGTGTGTTCTGTGGAATATGTCTTACCATGCTCAAGATTCGCCTGCAGGTCCCTTATTGAGCTCATTGAGATCCATTTCGGACATATATAAGGAGGCAACAGCAAACAGCCGTAAGTCGTACATAAATCTATTTATTATTTATTCTATCTGATTCACGTAAAAAATATTTCCAATGGTAAAAGAATATTCAAAACCACGTTTACATGCAAAACAACTTATTTCCACATGCAGAACCAGCTATTTCCAACCAATCCAGAAGCGCTGCAACTGCTACTTACAATGTAATGTAAGCGTAGCAAGTGAGTGAGAAGTTGGAATAAAGGGATAATGGAATAATAAGTAGCATAGAAAAGATAATAATTATTCGAGATAATTATTATATATTCCAAATTAAATAAGGGATAATTAATACAGTTAACTTATACATTTAAATTATACAAAGTATAACAATTGACCTAGTTATGGCATTGTTTGATAATTGTTTAAACGTATAAAAAGCACGAAACTATTAACAACAACAGCCGTGACCCAAATAGGCGCATAACGCCAAAACTGCAACTCAGCGAACCTACGACCTTGGTACTAGAACCGGCGTTGAAAGTACGACCACAATAAAACAGAAAGAAACGACGGACGCCGCGCAGTTAGTAATGGGTAGTCGGTAATGGACAGTCAGTAATAGCGGGCCACCGTGACTGGGACGCGACAGCGTCCCGTACGCGAACAGTACGAGTCAGTCGGTGATTTTTCCGGGGGCTGGGCATCTTCTGGCAGAATTCGCGTGTAGTCCGGTTATTGTGGCAGCTCGAAAGTTCGCAACCCTCAACTGACCGAGTTCCAGAAGACTGAACGTGTCGTGGTTGAAGCCCTAATATACACATAAGGTAACAGATTTCTTATACTAACCTGTGTAATTATATTAGTACCTCTGTCAACTCTTCACTATCTTGCTACATCGTCTCCCGACGCGCAGAATAACGTGTTAACGATTGTATTAGGAACTTCAGGGTAGATTCAATATATTGTTGACTCTAATTTGGTTTTTTTTTAATGTTCCTTTCGTCCGACTCACTAGAGACTAGGAGAACACGAGATTCTGCGTATACATATCTCCGGCTTCAAAAGTAAGCCCATAACCTCTACTCTTTACAGGACCTGAGACCGAGGAGTCCTTACCCCTATCCCGAAATCCCTTATCTTCTCGTAAATCCACGAAGACGAGCCAGCCCTCCAGACCAGTGTGACCAGTATTCCTTGCAGCCGCTCGCAGGGTTAGCATCCCTTGAGGATCTATTGTGTATTTCATTTGGTGACAGCGTTTCCATTACCCTCATATAACGCTCTCATTTCCTATTCATTTACATTGGTGACAGCGGTCCCGGTTTGGGGGAATTTCGGTAAATAGGGATAATTAAGTCACTTCTTCAGTATCCTTGTAAACTTTTGCAAGTTTTGTAGCTATAAGAAGCCTTCATCGTTTCATTTCGCCAGTGACATTCCAATTTTTTTTCTTCTCTTTCCTAAGACGACAACAGATTAAAGAAACAGTGAGGTATCCAGTAAATATTGTGTGGAGTGCAGGACTCCCTTTTCTGGAAGAAAATCCTTTTTCTCTCTTTGTTATATAAACTTGTTAGTGGTTTTACACAAATTATTCGTATATAGTAGATTTTTTTTATCTTGTATCACTGGAAAATAACCTCATATCAATTCCTTCCCGAGACTTAGAATCCTAAATTAAGATAGGTGAATTGCTTTTATGATATATGTGAAGAGATGACAAGTACAAATTTTTTCAAAAAAATACATACTAACACATTATATGATGTTCTCTATATAATCGTTTTTTTTAATTACCATAATATTGCACAAAAAAAACATATAAACTATACTGTCTAACAGAATATATTATGATATATGATGGTATAACAGAGATTATTAATTATCAGTCGAATATAGGAATTGAATTATTTAAAGAAATAATAAATATATTGTTTACTAACTAGTTGAATATAAAGAATTTAAGTAATTAGGTCAAGATCAAGTTCATTTGAGTGTACGAGTTTATTGCTTTCAAAAAGCGCAAAATATAAATTCTTTGGGTATTATTTTACTAACTGTTTACATATTATCAAATTCTTTTGTTTAATGTAACAAGTGCAAGTGAAATATGATTTGTGTTTGAAAAACATTTATGTTGACCTTAGAAGCGTCGCGAAGTAAAGAATTACGATGTAAATCGCGGGGTTGGCAAATTCCTCAAGTAATATACACTGAGAAATTAGATATGACTTTGTTAACTGATTAATTAAAGTAAACTGGGATATTTGGATTTATAAATAACGTTTAATTTGTAAAAAGGAAAAGAATTTAATAGAGTTTAATTTTTCAAAAAATAAATACTAACACCTTATTTGATATCTGAGTATTGATTGATTGATCGATTATTATTTTATTTGATTATTTAATATTTTACACAGATTTGTTTTTAAGTTCGGCAGCGTATATTTCTAAGTTCTTTATTTTAACAAAAATTTAATTCTTTATACAATTGTTGGTTAACTTCATAAATTGGCACATCATACTGAGTTGGACATATAAAAGAGGGAAAAGAATTTAATGAAGCTTTGGAAGATAATTGACCGTGGCGTCAGAAAATCTTTTTCACGATTTTGGAATGATTTCCACGAACATATGAGTTCGGGAATGGATCCATTATGGAACAGTCAAGATTTAGTAGACGTGAAGCTTGCATCGTAAGGAAAATGCATAGAAGCACGTAAAGTGGTTCTTTGGGCCGTGGCCCATATTTAAAGAAAATTTGAGTCGAATCTTTGTCAACGTCCTATAGTGATTTTGACAAACGTAACTTGCGAGACACTAGGAGGCTTGCTACAGTTTATGTACCAGGGAAAAGTGCAAATTGGACAGGAAGACCTAAGGGCCTTCACCGAAGCGGCCGAATCGTTGCAAAGGCAAGGACTCGCTGGAAACGGAAAAGTTATAATAGTTACTATCGTTTAGAGTAACTTGCTACAGTTTATGTACCAGGAAAAAGTGTAAATTGGACAGGAAGACCTAAGGGCCTTCACTGAAGCACTGAATCGTTGCTAAGGCAAGGACTCGCTGGAAACGGAAAAGTTATAGTAGTTACTATCGTTTAAAGTAACATTATAGAGACTTTGGACGAAGAAGGTACTCTGAATGTAGAAGAGTTTAAGTCAGTTTCTTTGCTTGAGACAAAGAAGCAGAACCATAAAGAAGAAAGAATAATCAGCGGACACAGGTGGGATGCCACAGAAATAGAGGCATATCTCACACAGCATACGAAGATGAATACAGTGCCAGAAGTATATTTTTTACAGGAATGTGGGCAAGCTGTATATGGTTCGACCTTAAGGGGTGAAACTTACGTCAAGTAGGAGGCTGCTAAGGGAATAAGCTAGGGTGGTACTAGAATCCCAACCCGCTAAGAGTCCCGCGGCTCCAGCACGACAATACAGTATCTACAGGATGTAATAAAAATGCGAAACGAATCTGGAATTGTGATTTTCGTTAATAAAGTAAACGGAAAAGTAAAGGAAAAGGAGAGTTATAATTAATACCTTCCACATGTTACAGGAAGGATATGGAAGAATAAATAGGATATACAGTACAGAAATATAGGAGAAGATTATTTCTGGAACGAATTATGAAGAAGTATTGAGAAATATGTGAAATGTGAAGAGATGCGAGAACTGCCTGGGGC